TTTTTTTTTTTTTTTTTTTTTTTTTAGATATATATTTTTAAATAAATAAAAAAGGGTATAATATTTTTTATTATAAAAAAAAAAATTATTTTATTATTCTAATCCTTTATATTTTTTAAATTAACCATAGCATTCTTTAAGATGTGAAAAAAAAAAGATTTTGATCATTATTGAAGTTGTTTCTGTTATTTGGTATTTTTTTTTTTCAGTAAATTAAAATTACAATATTTAAAAATATAAAACTAAGAACAATCTCATACAATACCTTTAATATAAAATAATATAATAATATTTTCATTTTTTATAAGTTTAAGACTTAGTGAAGTTCAAAAAAGTTTTTAAATTTTTAAAAATAAAAAGAAAATTAGTATTACATATGGAAATAAATATATATTCTTTCATATTGATGGTTTTCAAACATAAAATGAATAATCTTATTTTTAATTTAAAATTAGAAAAATATTAATTTTTTTTTTTTTTTTTTCTTAAGTGTAAATATTAATATGTAAAACATAATATCTGTTTTCGTATTAATAATACATATGTATCAATGTATTCAAAGTTTAAAATGTTTTTTATTATCTCCTTCAAAACTAAAAGATAAATATTAACATTAATAAAATATAATAAATGATATATTAATTAAATTTTTAAATAAATAACAATTTTTTAAGAAAACATTCTCATTATTTGGTTGAATATATAACCTTTTAATTTTTTACTTTATTTTTGCTCTTTTTTTTTTTTTTTTGTATGTCTTTTTTAAATTTTAACATTTTAAATAATGTTTTAATTAAATAATCTTTCTTTGATTCCTTATTTTTAAAAATTTATTTATTTTTAATATATTATACATTTTTATTATTTTTAAACGTTGATTTTTTTTTTTTTATATATCTTGATTTTTTACTTGGGTGAAATTTACAACATCGCTGCATGTGTAAAATTATAAATTGAAAAAATTAAAATTTTTCTCTTTTTTTTAAATAATGTTGTTTTTTTATAATTTTAATTCAATAAAAAATAGGAATATTTATGTTTTTTTATATTATGCAATTACTATTTCTCTTTTTTTTTTTTTTTTAAACTAAAATTATTTTTTATTTTATTTTTTTTTTTTTTTTTTGGTTTAATAAATTTATCCCTTTAATTGTTGCATAAAGAACAAATCTACATATATATAAATTTATTTAATTTTTATTGTAATTAGAAATATACATAAAATACTTTTTAAAATTTGTAATACTGTTAAGTTCCTTTAAATCTTATACTAAATAATTGAAACTTAATAGTTGTTCGAAATTACAATTACAATGACATATAAAAATAATTTGAATTAAAAATATGTGTGTATTTTGAAAAATTTAAATAATTTCCTTTTTAAATATAAAGGATAAATTTAAAATTATTTTTGAGATTTTATTTTTTATTTTTGTTTAGTAATTTATAATAAAATGATAATTTTTATAAATTTTATATTAATATTTATCTTTTTATATTTTATAAATTCTATAGAATGCTTTAAGAATAAATTATACTTAAATATTTTACATTTATCTCAAAATGAAGATGAAGTAAAATCAAAGATAGATAATGTGGAAATTTTTGATGATGGAAAGAATATAGATGAAGTAAAAAAATTAATATATCCTAGAATTATTAGTTATGGCGATTTTTCGTTAAACTTAGACAAAAATAATGAAAATAATAAGGTAGAGAGAATAGAATTAAAATGTAATAACAAATATCCTGATCATTTAAATCATTTAAAATTAAAAATTTTAAAAGTTTTACTTATTACTAAAACAAAAAAAGTAGGTGTTACTAAGTATTTTAAAGAATTTTGCAAAGAAGGTAACTCTTGTTACTTAACAGTTCAGTTAGATGAAGATAGAAATTTTGTAGATAATAAAATTATACATTTAAAAATAATAAATGATAATAAAAAAAGAGATCAAAGTTCAAATCTATATACAAATATAAATAAATTGAAAATTTTCTTTGTATGTGAAGATGTAATTCATCCATACTCGATACCAACAAAATCACGTGATACTTCTCGATATGCTTTTTCTCATGGACAAATTGCATATATAAGATGTGAAAATCATAAAACTGTTAAAGTAAGAAATAAAAAAAAAAATATATATATATATATATATCTATTATTTTCTTTTATATTGTATTAATTTTATATTTTCATAAATTTTTGCAAAATTTTCACAATTATTTATATTTTTTTTTCTTAACTGTTCATAAATTATTGACAGATTTTAAAAATATCAGGAAAAGAATCAAATGGGAAATTTAAGACAATATCAAAGAACAAAATTTTATCTTATTGTTCTCAGAGGGAAATATGTAAAGTTAACATGCTAGATATATATAACGATAATGAAATTACAGATTTCGTATTTTATGAAGTGAAATACTCTTGTAGAATTTCTCAAGTTTGTAGATTATGTGTAGAAAATTCTGTTTGTGAATTAGATAAAATTTATAATCAAAAGAAAGATGTTATACAATTTGAAAATGATATGGATGATAATGAAAATGAAATATTCAATAGATTATCACCAAGAAATGAAGATGAAGATGAAGACAAAAATGAATCTGAAGAGAAAAAAAAAAAAAAAAATATAGAAAATCTTGAATATAATGTAATATCAATAGACTTAAATCGTATGGTTAGTGTGGGAAATAATTCTTATCATATATATGAAATTTGCAAATGTAAAGAAGGTTTTATACAGGAAGGATTAGCATGTTTTAAAAATGAAAATGAAGATACGAGAATAGAAGAAAACTCTAATAATGAAGAATATGGAAATATTATTCTAAATAAGGAAAAGAATATAAATAAAGAAAGAATAGTTGAAAATAAGAATGCAGATACCTTAGAAAATGAAAGAGCTCAAGATGTCATGAACAAGATAAATGAAAAAGAAAATGATCGTAATAAAGTAAATATAAAAGACTCTTTAAATGATGAAAAAGAAGAAATAAATAATCCACAAAACATACAAGAAAATAGTAATGATATTATTGATGATGATAGTAATGAGAATATACATGATTTTGATGAGGTTGTGTTAAACTCAAAAAATAAATATTACGATAAAAATAAAATAGAAGACAACTCTAATTCAAATAAAAGTAATAATGATTTAAATATATATAATAAAATTAAAACTCAAATAAATATGGATACGAAAAAAATAGAAGCAAAATCATTAGGAGGCACAGATTCCTTTTCTGTTCTAAGTTTTTTTCATCCCTTGTTATTTTTATTATTTTTTGTTTCATTTTTTTTGAGTTTGTATTAATTTTTTTTAAATATTATAAATTTATATTTTTTTCCTAATTTTTCTATAATTTATATATTTTTTATATATATACTTTTTTTTTTTTTTTTTTTTTTTTTAACTTTTTATTATTGTTTATAGATTTTACTTAGCTTTTTTTATAACTTACTTTTTTATTATAAAAAATGTATTAATTTTTCATTTCATTTTTTTTGCATTTAAAATTTTGATTTATTTTAATATATATTTCTTATGTTACATTGATATGTGGTATTTAAAATTACATTTTACTCGAAATATTTTTGTATATTAAAAGTAAAAATAGAATATCATATTTTTATTTTTACTTTATTTAAAGAATTATAATAAGTAATTAAATATGTTGTTTATACAAAAAAAAAAAAAAAAAATAAAAATAAATATATAATATGATTTTTTTTTAAAATATTAAGACACATTGATAAAAAGACAAACTCACACATTTGTCACAATTCGATTAATTCATAACAAAAAAAAATTAAAAATTAGGAGGTTATAAAAAAAATATAAGTTGTCATAATTTAATTTAAATAAGATCAACAAATAAAAATTATGGTATATTTCAATTATGGAGTATTTTTCGAGGAAATTTTATTACAATTTATAAGATTATAAAGTTTACATAAGAAATATATATACATAAAAATTCCTTTTTTTTTTTTTTTTTTTAAATTTTTTTATACAACAAAAAATTCAGACATCAAAAGAATGTGATCTGATGGAAAATGTTCATTCGGTAAAATTTTGATATCACTAAAGTAAAAAAAAAAAAAAAAAAAGAAAAAAATTAAATAAAAAATATATATACATATATATATAAAATAATGTTTTTGTAATTAATTACTTTAAGTTACTAGGTATAGTTTTTGCTGATAAAGGAATAAGCTCTTTGTAAAAAATAAAATCAATACAACCACTAAAACTCAAAGTTTTATTTGTAAATATAGGTTCATTACCATTTATCTTCAAAGAAATCATAAAAAAATAAATATATATATATATCATATTTTTTATATTTTTTTATTTTCTTTTTATTTTTACTTCTTTAAATGCACTTTTAAAAGGTTCTATAGATAATTCTGGTAGTAAGTAAAAAGCTTTATCTTTTCTTAATTGTGCCTAATAAAAAAATGATAAAAACTTTTTTTTTATTTTAAGAAAAAAAAATAATATATATTTATAAATATATTACTGGATGTTCCATATGAGTGTTTTTTACTCTACCCTTTGTTATTAACCTATAATTATTTTTCAAAATTATATTTTCAATTATTTTTCTTAATTTTTTTTTTTATATTTTTTTTATATTATTACTCATATACACCACTAAGTTTCTGTAAATGTGATATATCATTTTCTTTTTGCTAAACAAAAAAAAAAGATAAAATAAGGTAAAAAAAAAAAAAAAAAAAAAAAAAAAAAAAATAATTATATTATTATTATTATTATACAATATTAAAAGATAAATATATTTTATACCATTTAACATTAGATACAAGATGCATTTATAAGAGAGTTGAAAAATAGACATAGTATTGCAAATATGATTCTTCTAGAGCTTTCAGATGTATAAAGAATAAATTGAAAACATTTTTATTATGTTTTAATTATTCCTCTTATCATTTATAATATCTTAAACATTTTCTGTATTCATTTTTTTTTTTTTTTTTTTTTTTTTAA